GACGAGTTCGGCTAAGCGGATGTGGGTGTCAGTGGAGGGGGACTGGTCGGGCCTGCGGGACAGGAAGAAGCCGAGGGCCTTAAGGCCATCTGCATGGGGAATGCAGGTGTACAGGGACTGGACGTCCATGGTAAAGGTGAGGTGTTGGGGACCGGGGAATTGGAAGTTCTGGAGGAGGTGGAGGGTGTAGGTGGTGTCACGAATGTTGGTAGGGAGTTCTTGGACCAAGGGGGAGAAAATGGAATCGAGATAGATGGAGATAAGTTCGGTGGGGCAGGAGTAGGCGGAGACAATGGGTCGACCAGGGCAGTCAGGTTTGTGGATTTTGGGAAGGAGATAGAAGCGGGCGGTGCGGGGTTGGGGAACAATGAGGTTGGAGGCTGTGGGTGGGAGGTCACCTGAGGCGATGAGGTTGTGGATGGTTTGGGAGATGATGGTTTGATGGTCAGAGGTGGGGTCATGATCAAGGGGGTGGTAGGAGGAGGTGTCAGAGAGTTGGCGCCTGGCCTCGGCGATGTAGAGGTCAGTGCGCCATACTACAACTGCGCCTCCCTTGTCCGCAGGTTTTATGGTGAGGTTGGGATGGGAGCGGAGGGCTGCACGTTCTGCGGGGGAGAGGTTGGAGTAGGTGAGAGGGGTGGAGAGGTTGAAGCGATTGATGTCACGATGGCAGTTGGAGATGAAGAGGTCGAGGGAGGGTAGGAGGCCTTGGGGTGGTGTCCAGGAGGAGGGCGTGTGTTGGAGGCGGGAGAAGGGATCAGTAGAGGGAGGGTTAGGCTCACGGTTGAAGAAGTAAGCGCGGAGGTGGAGGCGGCAAAAAAACTGTTCAACGTCCAAGCTTGACCAGTATTCGTTGATGTGTGGGTGGAGGGGCCAAAGGTGAGCCTTTTACTGAGGACAGTACTTTACTTTACTTTACTGAGTGTTGACCCACAAGACAGGATATGTAATCAACATAAACATCACTGTTTTATTCAGAAAATGACTTTGAAATTGTAAGAAGGCAAACAATGAGGGAGATTTGTTGTCTACTTTTAAAATTAGCTAGAAGCTGGTTGCTTCTCGAAGCAGATCACCAGACATCTATTGAAGTAACTACAAGACCTTGAAGTGAGTGAGGTATTTAACAGCAAGACCTTGTAAGTGTTAAGAGAAGGACTCTCGCCCTGAACCTGTTCCAATCAAATTTCAGAAATAGTAGGTACTGCCGATGCTGGAGTCTGAGATAACAAGGTGTGGAGCTGGAGGAACACAGCAGGCCAGGCAGCATCAGAGGAGCAGGAAAGCTGACGTTTCAGGTCTGGACCCTTCTTCAGAAATGGGGAAGGGGGGGAAGGTGGGGGAAGGGGGCTCAAATAAATAGGGGGGTTGGTGATAGAAGGTGGATAGTGGAGCAGATAGGTGGGAGAGAAGACGGACAGGTCAAGGAGGCGGGGATGAAGAGAGGGGGCTGGTCTTGGGATGAGGTCAGGGGTGGGGAGATTTTGAAGCTAGTAAGGTCCACATTGAGACCATTGGGTTGTAGGGTCCCAAGGCGGAATATGAGGTGCTGTTCCTCCAGTTTCCGGGTGGCATCGTTGTGATCCAGGGTCACACCTCCTGAGAAATTCAACTCCAAGAAACCTCATGGCCTGCAGAGAATCCTTTGCTTTACAAGACTCTCGCTACAACTTCAAAGCACCGAAACCACAGGTTGACAGGAGAGAGACTGGAGATTGTAAACCAGAGACTGAGTAAAACATGAGTTGTAAAAGTGTGATCAATCTTTATTTATGTGTAAGAGAACAAATGTGTGAGATGTTGCATTATAAATCCGGGTGTGAGGGAATAAATAACTTTATTTTTAAACTCTGAAAAGCTTGCTCCAGGAATTATTACACACAGCTGGTCAGAAAACATGCATCCATTTCAGAACAAAATACACTGATCATGGTGGTAAGGTAATACAGAGATTCTATCTGAAAATGTTCTTTTTGCCATTCTGTCTGAGCAGTTTGTGCAAAAATGAGGAGGGAAGTCACAGTCAAAGGGACATAATTAAGACAAATAATTCATGATTATTTGAAGCATGTGGATCAACTATCTTTGCTTAAAATAAAAAAACTTTCATCAGGTGAAGTACATTTTAGTTTATTTTGTGCTAATACGTTAGAAAAAATTGGTTCAAAATGAAAAGGTGCATGCTCATCCAATTTCAATATGTATTAAGCTTAATTTTCTGTTTCTGTTCACCTTAGCTGTATATGTACAGAGCCTCGTAATCCTGACAACAGAACTCTAGAGTACTGGGAGAAGCACAATATTACAAGATCATCAGTTCCTTGGGCAAATCTAACTGTCAGTGTAAGTTTTTCAAAAAATGATTTTTCAATTAGTTATTTATTTGGGAAATGAATCTGGCTCAGGATTATGGATAATAGAGGGTTGTGATCAGTCTGTTAATTAGGCCTACTACTGTGGAAAAAGGAAAAACTTATCATAAGAAACACAAGTGTTCAGTCACAATCTCAAATACGTTTTCATGCCGGGCATTGCTGTAATATTGTTAACAGGCTAT